TTATTTTATATCGTTGTCGTTGGTTCATGTATTGGTTTTCTCCTTTTCTGTTGTATCCTTTCTTAGCTGATATATCTCTGACATTTACATAGTCCATCCTCTTCTTCTCTCATTATTACTATTAGCTATCATAAATTATTACAATTATTAATAAATCATAAAATAATCTCCGGGGTTTCTATTTACAGGCACGACCAGGAAATAGACCTCCAAGATCTGCTCGGTGTAACTCGGATCGTGAACGGGACGTCGTTTTTGAAACACGTCTTACTCGACTTCTACGAACGGTCTTTATTAAATGATCTCGAGGTACGTCGTATCTGGAGTTCGAAAATCACGTCCAAGTGCGAGTTCGGATTGATCGCGGAAATTAACGAGTGCCTCGGTAACGAAGCCGCTAGTTTGAAATTCTTATTCGAAAACAAATCCGCGGTGGAGGTACCGTTCGGTCTCGTCGAACCCTCGACGGCGAATAATTTCGCGATCGTTTTGTACTTCCGTTTAATGATGCTCGAGTGCGGGTCGGAGAGGAAGTTTGTGGCGAACGAGGACGTTATACGCTTGGAGGAGTACTCGGCGGCCGTACGTTCAGGTGAGCACATAAGAAACTTGTAGATGGATCAATAGAAATTCCAGAAATACGAGATGAATAAGGGGAGTTCCCCTATTGCCGGACGCTTAAGCTTTTTCTCACATGGACGAGTAATAATAATATTTTATATCTTTAATAATATTTTATTAATTAATAATTAATAATATTTTAGACCTTTTATTCTATTCTATTTATAAATTAATGATAGAATTCTACATTATAAATCCAAGTAAAGAAAGAAAATGATCATTATTATCATAATAGTTAAATTAAATGAACATCAAACTTTGGTAGATGATTTTGAGAGGTAATATTAAATGGCAAGTAAAATTTACTACCTTAACTTACAATACAATTTCAGTATAATTTACAGTGATCATAAATAAACCGCGGATTTGAATTAGCAGAAATGATGAATGCCACGATACATAATATCAAATACTGGATGTATGACTCAATGTTTAAGTGACCTAACAAATATTTATATAAAACATACATAAATGTTTTATTTTACATAAAGATATGCAGTCTAGTCATAAATAGAATAAGGGACATCCCCTTACTTCACT